CCGGGCCTGGGGGGCTGGCGGCGGCCCGGCACGCACCGTGCTCCGGCAGCGACGGGCCCAGCCAGGCAGGGTCCAGTGGCAGGTGAAAGTACGTCCGGAGGACGGCCCGCTGGAAGATGTGCAAAAAGCGATTGCCCGGGGCCGGCGGCGCGAGGCGGTCCTCCGGGTCCACAAAGACCGGGTCCACGTCGACCCCGGGGCGCCCGGCCCCGAGGCGCCCCTGCCGCTCGAGGTCCGCCACCAGGGCGGCCATCGGGGCCGTCGGGGTGTCGGCCGGCAGGGGCCCGGGCCCGGCCTCCAGCGCCGCGGCCGCCCACGCCTCCTGGTCCATGCGCTGGGCCAGGTCCCGGAAGGCCTGCCGGCAGAGGGCCAGAAAGCGGATCCCCAGCCCCGGGGCGTCGACCGACGCCAGGCCCTCCTGGCAGCGGGCGATCAGCAGCCGCACGGCATCCAGCACCACGCGATCCGGGAAGTCCTGGTCGTTGGCCAGGAGGACCGCCGCCCGGAGGGCGAAGTGCGGCACCCCGAGGCAGTTCAAGTCGGCCAGCATCGGCGTCGGGGCCCGGGCCAGGAGCTGCCGCAGGACCATCCAGTCCGGGTGCGCGGCATGCTGCTGATACGGCCGGAAGAGCCCGGGCAGGCCGCCGGCCGCCAGGGCCGGGCCGTGGCCCAGGTCCTCGCCGGCCAGGGCGTGCGCCGCCGGCGCCGACGCCTCCCCATCCGAGGACCCGGGGTCCGAGTGGAGGAACTGCTCGGCGCACGAGAGCCCGGCCAGCTGGCCGCAAATGCACTCGGAGTCCGAGACCCCGACGACCAGCGGGCTGTCCTCGGAGCTGGACCCGGCGATGGCCAGCCCCGGGCCCGGGGAGAAATGCCGGTCCGAGGGGCAGTCCGAGGGGCAGCCATCCTGGTAGCTGGGGTCCAGCAACAGGGGCCGGGGGCCGCCAGAGCACCGGGGGCCCGCCTCGTCCAATGGGGACTTGGCCCTGTCCAGGTGGGAGTCGGCCTCGTCCGGGTGGGAGTCGGCCTCGTCCAGGTCGGAGTCGGCCTCGTCCAGGTCGGAGCCGGCCCTCAACGGGCCCTCGCTGGCCGCACCGGAGGCGGAGGCGGAGGAGGAGGAGGAAAGGCAGTCCTCGATGTCGGCATCCAGCGAGTCGCGCCAGCCCGGCGAAACGAGCAGCACCCCGTGCGCCGGCACCGGGGAGTCCTCATTCAGGACGAACTCCGCGCTGGAGGAGGCCGACACCGAGGCGCTGCTGTCAAAGCGGCTGGCGATCTGCGGGCTGTTCACCTGGGACCAGGAGGCCGAGCGCTGGCTGGTGGTCAAGACCCGGGCAGCGTCCCGGACGGCCGGCCCGGCGGGGTCCAGCTCCGGCAGCAGCGGAACAAAGGGCGAGTGGGCGCTGGCGCCGCTGCTGGCGCCGGCGCTGGCCGGGTGGCCGGCCGGCCGGGGGTCCCCCGGCGCATCGGCGCAGGTGCCACACCCGGGACAGGGGGCCCGGCGAGGCCGGCGCCGGCGCAGGGCAGCCGCCTCGGCCGCGGCCGCGGCCCGATCCCGATCACGCTGTCGCAAGCGCCGGGCCCGGCGCCGGAGCCGCGTGTGGACACTGTGCACCGGGCACATTTGGGCCCCCCGGTCGTCGTACATGCCGGACTCCGAGCGCATGAGGGCCACGCAATTTTCCAAGTTCAGCGCCTGCCGGCGCATGCGCAGGGTATTCAGCAGCAGGTAGATCTGCTGGTCGGTGAGGCCATGGCGGAAGCGCAACACCCGCGATGCGTGGATTATGGCGTCGTGGGCGCGCTCGGCCTGGATGGACTCCAGCGCCTCGGTGGCCAGGACCCCGGGCGGCAGGTGCCCCGGGTCGATGCCCAGCATGCGCAGGGCCGCCTGGGCCTCGAGCTCGGTGTCGGCCAGCGCGGCGGATGACACCCCGGCGGGGCCCCCGGCCCCGGTCCCCGGCAGCAGCAGCAGGTCCCCGGCCGAGGGGTCGTGCTCGGCCAGGGCGTCGGCCCCGGGCCGGCGCATGTTCCGGAAGAGGGCCACAATGCTGGCCGGGGGTGGCGGCGGCGGCGGGGCGTCCGGGCCGGCGGGCCCGCCGGGCCCCGGCGATCCGGGGATCGAGATGTTCCCCGACAAGCTGGCCAGCCACCGCTCGTACTCGGGCGAGGCGCCTTCGATGGCGGGCGAGTCGAACAGGTCATCCGGCAGCGGCGACGAGTGCACCCCGCCCATCGTGGCGGTGGTCCGAGGGGTTGCGGGGGGTGGGGGG